TTAAAAAATGAAGTTTATACTAATTATACTGTTTTTTACTATATAAAGTAGAAACTTATTAGTTTATTAATTACCTGCTTATTAGTATGTGAATAGTTGTAGCGACAGTGCAGAAACATCTAAATGACCCATATCTAGCACTCTGCCAATTTTCTAATATGGATTTTTGGCATTAAATTTTTGGTACGTGAAACAATGACATATAGAATGTACTTGCTGAACTCTGACTTTAGAGTTGGCTTATATATCCAGCAGAAAATGAGTTCTATAAAGTCAGGAAATTGTTTAAATTTGTGTGTTGGGGATTTTTATGTATGTGTATGCAGTGCCTGGACATAACCTAAGCATTCAACATTAAAGAACGATGTCACTCATTCTTCTACATAACTCAAGACCTCTGAAGGCATAAAGTGTTCAAATGCAAATTAAGGTTGCCTTCACTGTTGGACACAGTGGCCCAAGCAAATAATCCAAGGTGATTGTAAGGCTAAAGCAGGAAGACTGCAAATTCAAGTGCAATCTGGGCAAGATCCTGCCTCAAAGTATGATTTTAAAAGGATTAGGGGTGTGGTCCCATGATATGAGTGCTTCCTAGCATGTACAATCACCTGGGTTCTATCTGGGAAACAAAACACTTTTTTTGATAACCTAGCATCATCTTTTAGAAGTCAAAAGCTAATTCATATCTTCTTTAGAAAGAGCACCAAAAGGTCAAGATAGTGTTGAAGTTCAGCCTGGGCTACACAGTGAGTCATGGTCAGCCTAACTACACAGCAAAATCCTGTCTCAAAACACAAAACAAATTACAAAAAGGGATTTTATGTTACTTCTTGAAAAAAAAAAAAGAAATTAATATTTAACACTTTAAAATAATCTGTTTCTATAGCATTTTATATGTCTCTTAATAACGCCTATGTTGGTTTCCCAAAACACTCTAACCTCTGTGACATTCAGAAAATATTTCACGAAAGAATATTAGAATTTTAAATAATTTAAAATTTATTTACTGGTTAAATTATTGTACATATTTTTAAAGATGAAATGCTGATTCTCACTTTACTGTCTTAAAACTTTTGACATAAAATATGTATTTTTTTATAAAAATATAGCATGGAAATGTAATAAGCTTTCACAGTCTACAAAAGAATGAAAACAAAAATGTGTACCATGTCAAAAATGTGATGTCAAAAATAAAATACGTGATTCTGACATCAAAAACACCCAAAAATTAACAAAATGCAAGTTGGTTCTTGAAAAGCTGTCAGTCTCTAGACAGCCCTAAGGGGGAGAAAAAAGAAGAAAAATAACTTTAGAGTTAAAAAGGAATTTAAAACTCAAAGAATTAGTGGAATACTAAATACAACTTTGTATCAATAAAATTTTAAATCTAGAGTAACAGCATATTAAATTTTTTTCAAAATTAACTATAGAAAAAGTTATCAGAACTATACAAACATTAGAAATTTCAGAATTTGTTAAAGATCTACCACTGAATAAGCTATTAACTTTGTAAACCACTTGATTCCACCTACTAGATCAGATTATTCCTGATTCTCATTATGTTATGAGTAAAAATATAAACTTCTAAAATTCATTTTTCAAAAGTAACATATAAATCAAATTTCAAATGAGAATGAAGAAAAAAATTACTGAAAATTCTTAAGAACTGAGGTAGAAAATCTTGAATAAACTATTGGCAGATCAAAACCTACAGCTTAGCAGATACAGGTCTTATTACTACAGCCTGTGTTGTGGCACTGAACAAATTATTTCATCTTTCTCCTTCATGGTTTTCTCATTTGTAAAATGGTTATCATACTATCTATATCAGGGGATTGTTGTAAAGACTAAGTAGATGGCAAAGAGACTTTGTAACTGTGCTTCGCACATTAGCAAATGCTCAGTAACTGTAAGCTATTATCATCATCCCAAGAACAAAAAACCCAACATGTCTCACTGCATTATTTTAAAGGGGAAATAAAGTGTATGCGAACATACAATACTTTTTAGCAGTGGTTAAAATAATGGAGCATGGTGATGCAAGCTTCCAATTCCAGCACTGAGGTGGCTAAAGCAGGAGGATCCTACAAGTTTGAGGCCAGCTTGTACTACTGAGCAAGACCCCATCTCAAAAATAATTAAGTAAACAGGAATCTTCTAAACATCATAAAGAATGTTAGAAGCCAACTAAGTGTTAAAACACAAAAGAATTAAAATGTTATATATGTGTGCCAACTCCCAATATTTGAAAGAATCGTTATGTACTACAAATACATACTAATAAAAATTCTTTAAAACACTGGTCATTATCATTAATTTATTAAAGATGTTCAAAGTTTGTATGATTTTCCACATTGAGATTTCCATATTCCATTCCACTAGTGTAATAAAGACAGCTAATACTGAAAGAGATAAAACTATTATTTGCAGATGATATATAAACAGAAAGTCTAGAGGAATAAATAAACCTCTTGCAGAGTTTTGGCAAACAGCCTGGATTAAAGGTCACCAAAAGGTGATGGTGGTGGTGGTGGTGCAAACCTGTAATCCCAGAACACAAGAAATTGAGGCAGAAGGATTCTGCGAGTTCCATCCATGGCAGACTGGCTACAAAGTAAGTTCAAAGCTAGCCCGAACTGCATAGTGAAATCCTGTCTCAAGAAAGAAAAAAAAAAAAAAAAAAAAAAAAAAAAGTACCGAAAGTCACTATCTTTAATAACAAAATCTGACAGAAAAAAAAAAACCTCTTATGTAATAATGTAATAAAAAGTATTTTATGTCCGGGCTGGGGATTTAGCTCAGCGGCATAAGCTCCTGCCTTGCAAGCAGGCAGTCATGGGTTCGATCCTCGGTACCGATAAAAAGGAAAAAGACAAAAAAAAAAAAGTATATTATGTCTAGGAACAAACTTAATGAGAATGGTATAAAACTGTCAAACTATAAAATGTCCTGGAACATAAAATACTGTAAATATCACCTACCTCAGCATCTTATCTTAATCATACAAACTAGAAATGCAGAATCTCTTCTAGACTCATTCCTTACTTCATTCCTCCTCCTCACAGCCACTGTCAGCATGAGCTCACCTGACCTCATAAACTTTCTCAAAACTTTTCATTCTTTTTCAAATACTTAATTCTCCTAAATATCCTTCACAGACTCCAGCAAATGAATCTCCCTACTTCTACTCTTATCTCTCAAGAGTAATTAGTCTAATCACACCTGTACAATCAGGCCCCAGTTCAAACACACATCAGCACTACACCCCAGCTCAAAGCTAATCAAATCTTCAGGGATCTGGCCTCAGCCTCATCTTCAATATCTCTTCTCTCTTTTGCGGAACTATGAGGATGGTTATGTTTCTCAAATTAGGACATAGTAAGTATCACTGACTAAAGAAGCCAGAGCCTCTGACAGCCACAAAAGGTACATTTTACCATATATCAATTCTAGGTGAAAACTCTTTATTAAAGACACATTAAATAAAGAAAAAATGCTAAATTTCTGACTGCTTAAATTGCTAGACTCCAAAGAAAGATGGCACAGATGGCAGTTCTGAGCTAGGTGCTCAAAATGAAGATAATGCTGCACTTATCAAAATAGGTGAAAAGTTCAACACTACCAAATTACCACTTATCAACAATTGTAATTAGTAGTTATGTCAGAAAACTGTTACTTTTTTTCTTTTGCAGTAGTAAACAATAAATCCATGGTCTTCACACTGAGCTACATTCATTAGCTCATTTTTGTTTTGAAGGGGATCTCATTGGGCTTGAACTTGGAATGCTTCTTCCTCATCTCTAGAGCGCTGCCATCACATGCCTAGGCTACCACATCTCATTTCTGCCTGGATTGATTTCGTGTGATGGTTCATGTGGTTCCTTCTTGTTTCTGGCATACTGTCATACTCTCACTTTTAGGGCTTCGGTGGGTCCTTGTTATCCTAAAAAACTCTTCCCCTAGAGTATGGCTATTTTTCTCAACTCCTGAAAATATTTCAAATATTATTCTCAATTGAGAAGATGTATCCTGATGTTCCCATTTCCCTTCTTGATCTCCAACATTACTTTAGAAAAACTATTTTTTCTTCATATCATTTTCTTATTTACTTATAATTTCCCACTAGCATATTCTATACCAAATGGGATTCATTGAACCGCCAGTATCTAGAACAATGCCAAAAACTTTTCTCACTTACTGAATGCTATGAGAAAGACACAATTTTTAGATTTTACTTTATGAGACTATAACACTGAGAACTTCCCAAGATTTACAAATAACAGTTCTTTTGCTACAAAGGATATTAATGAATCTTTCTGCCTACATGTAGTCTTTTTACTATTTTATCTTCGATAGTTAGTACACCATGGATAGATGAATACACTAGGCACCCCCAAATTTTTACATCAATGTTTAAACTGGTTAAATTATTTTCAGTTAATTTTAAATTGATTTTAAAAATAAACCCAACCTTTAAAAAGTAGCGATGCAAAAATCACGTTCCTAGAATCGACAAAACGTGATTTGTAAATGACGTCAGTAAATGGACTTACACGCTATTTTTACAAATTTCCACAACTTGGTTTCTAAACCTTTATTCACCACCACATATTAAGCAAAAAGCTCACATTCAGCTACGAACTCACTTCACTATTTACACATGCATATGATTTTGGACCAAGAAACCAAACTAGTGCCATTTTCGTACCATCGGAATTTATAAACCAATCACAGCAGACCCAGACACCGTCGCTTACAGACGCTGCCTCTAAGGAGAACGCCCTCGGACCAGTACCGGGCCAGAAGCCGCCCTGGATAGCTTCTCCAGTAAAGTCTGACACGCTACTCAAAGGACAAGACTAACTCGCCCGACTCCAAACTACCACAGGTTTCCTTCGAGAAACACCCACGCGTGGGCACCAGAGGCGCGCGTAGCCCACAGGCCCCGCCCATGCCGCCTCAAAATCCAGCACCAAAATTCTCCTCCCAGAAGTCCTCACCGGGTCTAGACTAACAGGAAGTGCCCGCTTCTCTGGTAAAGGGTGACGCACAAAGGAAACCTAGCCCTCCGCGCGAGGGCCAGGCAGAAACCCGGCACAGCCCACGGACGAACATCGGCCCTTCCGCGCCTCAACCTCTTTCCCAGGTTGAGCCGCAATCGCGTTTCTCGCGAGACTCTGGTCTGCCTTTGCGGATCCCAGACCTAAACCTCGCAGCCTCTCAGCTCGCGGGGGAGGAGCGACACCGCTCCCGCCCGCTTCACGAACCCACGGAGCACCTCAACCCCCGCCCCACTCCGCAGGTCCGCCGTAGCAAACGCACAGGCGGTCTAGATACTTCCGGAACCCTACCGGAACCGGAAGTTGAAGGAGTTGTAGAAGGGGTGGGGTTGAAAAATCAAAAAAGCGCGGCGAAAGCTGGAGGCCAGGGCCGGAGCAGGGGCGGTGGTCCCTAGACGGGGCGGGCGCCTGTCCCCATGGACTCCACCGCCTGCTTGAAGTCTTTACTCGTAACCATCAGTCAGTACAAAGCCGTTAAGTCAGAGGCGAACGCCACTCAGCTTTTGCGGCACTTGGAGGTGAGGGGTTTCGGGATTCGGGACGAAGCGGGCCTTTCCCCTCTGTAATCGGTTCCCTGCGAGGCCGAGGAGCGGCGCCGCAGCCCGGGGAAGAAAGGGCAGCTCCTCGCCCGCTCCTCTGTCCCCTTCTGCGGGTGAAGACTAAGTGCGTTCAGCTGGCGGCGCGAGGGCAATCGGAGGCCTGGAGACCACAGAGGGAGTGTGGGATCCAGGCGGGGAAAGCTGGGCTTTCTTTCCGATAGGTGAACAAAGCTCGGAGCCGCTGTTTTCTCTTTGATTCTTGCTTTATGTTTGTATTTTGTTCTTTGGAAATCCAAGCCTTACCAGTTTTTTATACGATGTTTGCGCGACCGAGGTAGGGAAGAGTTAGCTTAAAACTTTTGCTCTTACTAGTTCATAATTTCAGTTTTTATTGGAACTAGCGTTGAACAGGAAGATGACATTTCAACTTCCATTGGATTAAGAGCAGCACCCTTGTTAAGGACTACTAAATCCTTTTTGTTCTCCAAAACATTGCTCACGTAGTTTAATACTGATTTACTTACATTTTTTTCTCTTAATCCTGACGGTTTTGTGTAAATTGTTGTTTCAGTCGAAATCTGCTTTTCATTTGTTATGTGTTCATGGAATTCAAAAATAACGTTAACCTCAGTTTAAGTTAAAAATTTAAGCACATTTAAAATTCATTTTAATTCATTGTCGCAGCTTTCCCTTTGTTAGTATAAAACTGAACAGAATTTTAAAATATATTACATTTGTCATATTGTATAATGAAATGCAAATGGAATATTAGCAGAATACTTTCATCATATGCAGTATTAGTATCAGCCTTTAGAGAAAATACTGTGTAATAAACATGTCCTTCGCTTGTTTATTGCTATTTCTCACAACGTTCGGTATTCATTTGCTAAATACTGTCTTTTTTTCATTCATTACCCCCAGAAAGACCCTGCAAACATAATAGTAAATCCTTAAGCTACTTTTCAATTAGGATAGAATATTTGGGACTGCAGGAGCCAAAAGCTTTAAGAATAAAGCATTTTAGAACTATTAATCTGAAACATAAACAAGTATCTTACAGATTTGAGTTCAGTGCTATTGTGAGGAAACGCAAAAGAAATTGGGGAATAAAAAGTCCAATCCAGTTGGACAAGGTGACGCATGTTTGTAATCCCAGCACTAGGGAGGCTGAGGCAGGAGAATGACCCTGAGTTCGAGGCCAGGCTGGGCAACACAGTGATACCCTGTCTCAAAAAAAAACAGTCAGAACCTTGAATGCTGTATTTCTAAACTTTCTGAAGTGTTTCAGAAAAGACTTTTACTATTAATGCTAAGATATAAAGAACACTGGCTTGAAGTTACTACTCCTAAGGACATCATGTTTTGTAATTTGGAGTATATGCAGAGTGCATAAACCACTAAATCTGAAGCAAAGAGCCTGGCAGCTTTTTTATTTAACATAACTATCTGGTGTAGAATCTTGATAACAGAACACTTCCAGGCCCCTTGTGATTTTTTCACTCTCCCAGAAAGTTCAGTGAGGAAACTTAACATAGGTATTTTTTTCAGTATGATCTATGAAATTCATTCAAGTCATACATGTACCAGTACTTCATTCTTTGTTATTTCATACAATTCCATCGTATAATTTACCATAGTTTATGTATAGTCTACTATGCCGTGTTTACATATAGGTAGATATGATGTAGGGGAAATAAATGTAACATCCAGACTGCCAAATGTCCTGATATACGGAGTTTGTGTTCCTCAGAATTGAAGAAGGGAAAGAGTAGAAAAATTTACTAGGAAATAAAAAATAAGTCTGAGACATAGGAGGGACCCTGAGTAGATTGCTGTGGACCCCATTTTTATAGAACAAAATCACGAGTGAGTACAAAAGGAAAAAACTGATCAACCAGTAAGATACAAGTGTAGCCATTTAGGTGATACTGATCCAGTGGAGAAGCAGATCAGGTAGCAAGTACACCTGGAAAGAACAAAGGCTTTCCTAGGAAGAGGTGAATCAGGGTTTTGGCTACCCACCAGGGTGAATGATGTTAGTATTTATTTATTATTTATCTCAGGCATATAAACCTGGTCATTTTGTCTGTATCTTGACACCTGGCCTTCAACAGATGCACCTTTGGCCACAGTTGTAATGTGTTTTCACCTCTCTTGAGTTTCTTGAAGGCCTAGCTTGACTGCCTGCCTGTAATATTTTTATTTGGCTTAGCTATCTGGTAGACAGACAGATTGGACATTTCTGGCTCTGAATGGAGTGATGAATATAATTTACAAACATTCATAATTTTTGATGGGTATATGCGGCACTTGGAGGTGAGGGGTTTCGGGATTCGGGACGAAATGGGCCTTTCCCCTCTGTAATCGGTTCCCGGCGAAGCCGAGGAGCGGCGCCGCTGCCCAGGAAAGAAAGGGCAGCTCCTAGCCCGCTCCGCTGTCCCCTTCTGCGGGTAAAGACTAAGTCTGCGTTCAGCTGGCGGCTGAATTTCTCTTACATACCTAGGAGAAAAATCATGGTCATAAAATACATAAATATATTCAGTTTTAGTTCAAACAGCTAAATTTTCCAAAACATTATAGTATTTTACCAGAAGATAATAGTTTATGAGATTTACCATCACTAATCCAATTCTTGGTGTTTTCACAGTTCTTAGTTTTTGCCATTTTGTGGAGCAATATTTGTACTTTTGATGGTGAGTGTCTTTGTGCAAACTTGTAAGAGCAACTTCTGAGGATGCAGAAATGAGTGTCATGTGAAAGGGATTATGCATTCTTCTGACATTCTGAGCCTTACATTGTCCTTGTAGACTTGTAAAACTTGAGGTTTATCTTTTTTATTGATAGCTGTTTCTTGATGGTTTTTACACCACTAATCTTGTGACTAGTGATTAAAAACATAGATTCAAGAACAAAGCTCATGGGTGTGAATATCAGTTGTTCCCTTGTGTCAACAGTACATTCCTCAATATACTTATCTGCAAAATAAAATTAATACCATCTGCCTTATAGAGTAATGAAGAAGAAAAGAGTTAGTATATCTAAATTACCTAATTCAATACCAGGGCCAGAATAAGTGCCATGTAAGTATTAGTTAAATTTTTACCTTGTATTCAGTAATTGTTACCTGTCGGACTATTGCGATTTAGGGCTAGTCCTGAGTGGAATCACATTTAAAACAGAAAATATCTTAATTTTCTGGAGAGTATATTTCCCAATAAATGCAAGAACTGTTCATTCAGAAGGTTCTCTACCCTAAAATAATTACTGTCAGTATTGTAACTTACAGACTTTTCCTTTAGTAATGTTAAAATACTCCTTGAGAGCAAATAATATAAAATTTATCAACAAAGCTTTAGACAAACTGATGTGGGTGAGATAATAAAAGACTCAAAAAAGAAAGATTATAAGGATGCTAAAGAAGTCTCCTTAAGTCTGATCTTTTGAAATATATAGGACAGATTTAGTCTAATTCTAAATTAACTAATGGCAAAATATCTATTGAAAAGATGCTTGTTTGTAGTACATTTGTAAAGCATTTTGAAATTTTTGCTTTCTGCCAACTGATTCTGGCTTTTAATCCCAACTTTATACCCTCATTTTATCTATCTCCCAGGTATAAGAAAGGAGTAAAAATACAATAAACAAAAATAAAAACTTTGAATGCCTATTTCTGCTACTTTAAAATTCTCTTTCAACTTTTCTTCTCTAGGATCTCTTAACATTAGAGCTCAGCTCTTATTTCTGAAAAGGAGCAGTTGTATAAGTAGCCTTGTGTTTATTTTCTATTCTCTTTCCATCAAAGTAGGTGGAACTCGTGAACTGTAATTTATTTACAAAATAAATATTGGTAATAAGGTGCAGGATTTTAGCCTGCTTCATGGCCTGTTTAGTGTGGAAGATAAATACTGCTTGATAGTGAAAAGTTTGTCAACCCGTGACTAGAAGCATAAACTAGTTGTAAGGTAGCTTAGGGGAATGTCTCCTGGACAAAATGAATTGAAACTGAAGTCTAAAACATTACTTCAGCTAGTGAAGCAGGGGTTAGAGAAAGCAAGTGTGAATCGTCTATGTTGTGAAAGAAAATGACAATGGCACTTGGAAAAACTTAAGTTTTTCATTTGCTTGCAATTTCATAGGTGATTTCTGGACAAAAGCTGACACGACTGTTTACATCAAATCAGATATTACCAAGTAAATGCCTGAGTTGCCTGGTAGAGCTACTTGAAGACCCAAACATAAGTGCTTCACTGATTTTAAGTGTTATCAATTTGCTGTCTCAACTAGGTAATGCATTTAGTTTCTCTTTTTCAGTATTTGGAAAATGTATGAATTTAATACGTTTTAAAAGTACAGATTTAGTTATCTCTTGGAGAACAATTCAGACTCAAATATTTCTTCATTGCAAAACCTTTCAGAGTTACTATGTTGTGAATCTCTTGAAGGCAGGATATACTTTTTTTTTTTTTTTTTTTCCCTTAAAGTAGACCAAGAAATTAAGCATATCTAAGTGTTTTCTGTTCTACAGAGAAAAATGCACTTTGGTAAATGCTGGGCTACTTTTGAATTGAAAAAAAAAAACAACTTATCTATACATAATGCCAATCAAATAAAACAACTGACACTTGTAGTTATAAAGAATCACTTTTCTGTGCTAGATTACACTGAATTCAGAACTAGGAATAAAAATACTGTTGTTGTTTTTTCTGTTATTTCCCTTTGTTTGGTTTTGAAATAAATGTTTATCTAATGATCATATACTCCATCCCCCTTTTATGAATAGGCTGGGAAATTGGGGTATGTTTTCTGTGTGTGAATATATAATTAAGATATATGTAGTATAAAAACTCCAGTAATCCACAGTATACATTGTCCATTGAGCAGTAGAATTTTCTTCAGTGATAGAAATGTTCTAGATCAGTGATCAATAGAGTTGCTATTTGCCACATAGAGCTTTTAAGTTTGAAGTGTAGGTTGTAAAGGAAGGAACTGAATCTTTAATTAATCTAACTTTAAATAGCCATATGTAGTGTTGTGGTTTACCAAAATAGCACAAATATAGAGTATAAAATGTGATAAGTCCCTACTTATTACCACCTTCTGTCTTCATCGTTTCTGCCTTTGAGAATAAAATATCACTTAATACTTGATATTTTTTTCTTTCCAGATCTTTTTCTATGTTACAACACATGATCTTAGATCATTCATTGGTTGTTTTTAATTCAAATGCTGTCGAGGAACACTAGATGTTTCTTCTGATATCAGTGTCTTTTTTAGTAGCTGCCTAGTACTATTTTTACACAGTATTAAAATTGATTCAGATATTGTCTTCATGATGGGCAATGATGTTTTCTTTTCTTGTTATGGTTTTTGTTTTTGTTTAATGGGATCTCACTGTGTCACTAGGCTATCTTAAATTTACTTGCTTCCCCTGTCAGTCTCCTGAGTGATTGATATTATAGATGCATGATAGCAAGTCTGGCTGACTTTTGTTCTTTGTGAAGTTTATGCTGTTAGACTCCATAGTGCAGTTAACATTATTATGGAATTTTGCCTAAATATTGGTGTATTTCTGTGTTGGACAGATTCCCCCCCAAATTTTCAAGTTCTATTAAAATTTGATAACCATTATGTGCACTAAATTGCTTTCTTTAAAGGCTCTACTACTATCTACTATTAAATTTCTGCCAGTGTTTTTATAAGAAAATGCAACTCATTTTCAACATTTAAATATAGTAGAAAAAATGTAAGTGATAATCTATTTTTAAATTGTATTTGTTCATAAATAGATTTTATACTTAAGAGGCTTTTAAAAGAAAACTTGAAGTGATAATATTTTAATTAAAAATTTTCTACAAATATGTAAACCTAGTTTTTTTTTATATTCCTCTCCATAGAAAAAAACATTTGAATTTCTCAATTGGAAGACTGATAAATAACTGTTTCATACTGTATTTTCTTTAATGACAAGATTATATAGAATGAATTCTAAATTATTTTCCTTTATTCATGAAGACCATATCTAAAATAATGTATTTTATGTGATTATATGTTAATTTACAGCTGTAGACAATGAAATCAGAGACTGTCTTCAGAATACATACAACCTGAACAGTGTGGTGGCAGGAGTGATCTGTCGCAGCAGTGCGTGCCATGGCGATTCAGTGCTTTTGCAGGTATATGGACCCATACAGGATCTTCTTACTTAACAACTGTTCTTTAGTCTCAGGTCAAAATTTAAGGTCTTTTATAAACTACTAAGTTATAATGTGTGTGAAAATAAAAGCAAGATTAAACAGAATCCTTATCTTTGAGGGTTAGTTGAATACAAATGTACTACTATGTAAATGTTTCTTAGAGAAGGGACTCTTAATAGGTCTGGCACCATTATTGAACAGAAGCATTTCTGCATTACAACTGCTTTGACTTATAAACACATATCTACATTTTGAAAGGTAAGCTCTTCATATTAAAATTACCACTCGAATTGGCATCTCGTGTCTATTGAGGAAACAGTCTACAAAAATTCAACTTAATTTTATAATATTTAGCATAGTATCAAAGCTCTTAAAGTTGCTACCTTTTATTGAGTCTAAATGGAAGTTTTGCACAGTGGCAGGGTCATAACCAATGAGGTTTATCCGAGGTGTGATTATTGTTAATTGAATCTAAAATGGAATCAATTGAAAGAAAGAAAAATGTCTCCAGTTAAACTGATACACAGTTTTAGAGATGATACTTGTGAAGTATCTCAAAATTAATTGATGCACCGTGTGTATTTCAGTTTGCATTGAAACTTGAAATTTAAGGCAAGTATGTGAACAAAGTTTATGATTATGTTAGTCAGATTTGTCTTAAATATCTGATGCAGTTCCTTTAGAAAGAGAAAAGGATTATTTAGGTCACAGTTTAAGAAATTCAAGGGCATAGCATCTGCGTCTTGGTTCCTTAAACCTGCAGCCATATCATGGCAGATAGCAATGATGGAAGCTATGTGCTGATCATTGAGCTATCTGTGATCCTGGTTGAACCAGGAACACAGAGCAAGAGTAGGGCCAGGCTTGCTTCTTTTATAACCTCCTCACAAGTACTATCAAAGATACCACATGAGAAGTGCTTAATGTTCCTAACAACCTGAAGACATTCACCCAGGCCACACCTGCAAAAAGGTCCACCAAGTCTCAGCCAGACTACTATGGGGATCAAATCTTTAATTACAGTGAACACTTGGGGACACAAACCACACCAATCAAATGTTCTGTTTGAGAAAGTGTGTGAAAATGTGTGAAATGAGACGTGAATCATAAGGTTCTTGCATGTATTTGAAAAGGAAAAAATAAAAAAGAATAATAAAATTTTGTTCTAACCTTTACCTCCTAAAATGAGACATACTCAAAATATGAATCAGACACACAAGTTAAATATTACCTGGTTTCTTATATGAGAATATAAATAATATAAGATAGATATAAATAATATAAATATATAAATAATATAAGGATATAAATAATATAAGATAGATAATGGGAAATACAACCTTTTACAAGTTGAAAGGAGAACAACAGATGGAGAGGAAAGGAAAGCAAAGGGAATGGAAAAATAAGGAATTTTTAAAAATGGAAACAGCTTTGGAAATGGGGAAGGGGACCAAGAGATAGAAGGAGCAGGAAAGGAGGAGGGGAGGGGGATGAGAAAAGCAGCAGGTGTTGTATACATGTAGCAGTTGCCCACAATAAATATAATCCTGTACTGCAAACATGTACTAATAAAAAATAAAGAATATTTGTAATTGGCTGTTCTTATATGTTTTTGTATGTTTTTATTGATACCCATATTCTTATTCTTAGTGTATTCAACTTCTACAGAAGTTAACATACAATGTCAAAATTTTCCATTCTGGTGCCAATATAAATGAATTAATTACATTCCTGATAGATCACATGTGAGTATGCAACTAAATATGTAACCAAATAATATATTGATATATTTTTATGCTAGGATTATATATCAACGTTCCTACTTTTTCTGACATTTTTTAACTGAGTAGGACTAATTTATATTTGTTCTTAAATTATCCTAGTAATAAATTTTGAAAATGAACTTTAATTTTACAACTGATATTTAGAAGTGGTTAAACTGGTTTTAGCAGAAAAAATAATAAAAGTGAATGTTGATGTTTATAGTTAATCTTGGTTTGAATAATATAATAATGTTTGCTTTGACAATTATTTCTAAATTTTTATGATGCAAGTGAGTAGGATACTTTGGTTCCAAGCATGAAATAATTGTTAGTACTATTTAGAACTTGACTGTCTCCACGTTAGAATTTTTTGCAGGGAGAAAGGAGTTTAGATGTATAATTTGCTATATCATTTTGACTAATTTTTTTTATAATTTCTCTTTAACAAAATCATAATATAAAACAACAGTCAATCTTCTGAAGATGAGTTAACAATGCCTTGTCTAGGATTATTGGCAAATCTTTGTCGGCAAAATCTTTCTGTTCAAACACATATAAAGACTTTGGTAAGCAGTTTATTATTATTATTATTATTATTAATGGATTTTGTTTTATGGTAAGTTCTGTGCTTGGGGAAATTTTACCAAATCTTTTTCTCTGAAAAGCATTTAATTTAAAACCATCCAGCTGATTCATAACATCTAATAAAGAGTCAAAGTAACCTGCCAATTTTGTGAAACATTCTTTCATGTATCTTAGCCTGAAGACTGTAAGTTAAAGCTTAATACAAATATTGACACCTGAGAGGTTTTTTTTTTTTTTTCTCTCTTAGCATCCCTTAATTTGTCACACTGAGTAACTCAAAGAGTGGTGATTTCTTGCATGCCCATAGAAGGCAGGTGTCTCCCTGACTGTCCCATTTACTTTCGTCTTGTGGTCCCATAATATTAATGGTGACTCTTCCAGGAAGATTAATAAGTGCCTACTGCCACTAAGGCGCTTAAATGAACTTAACCACTTTCAGAAATATTAAATCAACAATGCACTTATTGTTTAAATTGCTTTAAACACATTCAAGTGCTGAGTTTTTTGAGGCTCATCTTGAAGGAGGAGCTTATGTTGAGCCATGAAAGTGTTTAAAAAGGTTTATAGAAAAGAAAACTTTGTGTATGTACATGTATTTTAATTTCTGAATTGAAAATGCCTATTAAACATATAATAAATATTTACTTACAATTTCACATAAAATGTTTTTTACTAAGGTGATATTATCTAGCTATATTAATCAGCCATGTATCAGAGTCCTTATGTCACCCACACTATGAATGCTCTTAAGTTCAAGTAATAATCTGCAAAGGTTACAAAGTTAACTACTCCCTCAAAATGTATAACACGTGGCAGATTCTCTAATTTGCTACGTTTTCTTTTTTTTTCACCATAATGAAGAGAGTTCTTCATTATAGTTCCTTTAAAATGCTAAACAGCTTTGTTTGCAGTGTTTAACGTATTCTTTTTTTTTTTTCCTTTCTGCGTGTATCCCTTTTCAACTATTAAAATTGACGTTCAGATTTAGCATCTATAAATTATATATTTTAAGGCAACAAAACCTAGAAATTTGTTTCTCATCCATTTTGGGCACCTTTACCAATTTTTTTTCTCTACATCTTTGTTTCTAACAAATAATTGTTGACCTTACATTTATATCTTTTTGTCCCTTTAGACTATGTAGATTTTAAAAATCAGTCATTTCTTGAAAGCATATATAATGTTTAATAAAGTTTGCCCACTCTGTGTAACATAGGGTTTCAAACTGTTTGTTTTGTAGCTGATAATTTTTAATCTCATTTATTTTTAAACTTTTTTCCCTCAGAATAATGTGAAAACCTTTTATCGAACTCTTATAGCCTTCCTAGCCCATAGCAGTTTAACTGTGGTTGTGTTTGCACTTTCAATACTGTCCAGTTTGACGTTAAATGAAGAAGTAGGGGAAAAGGTAAGTTATGAGTTCTGTTATTTATAAAGTTAATTCTGAAGTTTATAGTCTCTGATAATTTAAACATCATTGGGAGTTTTTTCACATTTTAGGATGGGGTCAGCATAATTTTTTGTGTATGTAATACACCTTTTCTAATTGTTTTAAAGCTATTCCATGCACGAAACATTCATCAGACTTTTCAACTAATATTTAATATTCTCATAAATGGTGATGGTACTCTGACACGAAAATATTCAGTTGACTTACTGATGGATCTCCTTAAGAATCCTAAAATTGCTGATTATCTTACCAGGTATGTCTCACATTAGTAAATATAAGGACTTGTTTTTTTATAAACTAGTATGTGTTTTTGATAAATAAAATTACCTTAGGATTCTACAATTTTCACAGTAGATTTAATTGAAATACTATGTACTTACATTCTTTTGGTTTCCTGAACCGAAATATAAAAGTTGGAAAGTATGTGTTTGTGCCCTTGTTCATGGTTTACATCAGTAGTGTTGTGTCAGTCTCTAAATTACACACACTCTAACTAGGTTTAGTGGTACACTGATGGAATCTGCTACTTGGGAGGATGAAGTGGAAGGATTTTGAATTCAAACCACCCAGGGCACACAGTCCAGCCTGGCCAACATAGTAAGACCCTATCTCAAAAAATACAGACATCCATTTTAAAACCAATTTTAAATCTTGAGCAATTTTAAATCTTGCTTAACGAATATCTTTATTATAGGAACATTCATGTCAGTAAGTCTATGACTGTAAATTTTTGTAAATTTTTCTTAATGATATGTTTCCTTTGGTACATGCCTCTTTCATGTCACAATAAAAAGAAAATGCATATTTATGTCTCTGCTGTCTCAGTGTTTCATCTGATCATTTATATTTCAAGATTAGGTAGCAACTTTTCCAGAGCTCAGCATCTGAAGTTAAATTTTTCCAGTGCCTAAGCTTTACTGGAAAAATTAAGAAACTTTTGAAATTGCTTTAAAGAGTTAAATTGATCATTTATAAGTAAAAAGTGTATTATTCTCCTGCTTTGTCAGACACTGAAAGAATGGAGTTAACAGCAACATGATATAAAGATATTTCCTGATCTCTAAGAATCATAGAATTAAGTTTTTTTTGGTTTTGTTTTGTTTTGTTTTGTTTTTTTAGTACCAAGGATTGAACTCATGCTTTCAAGGCAAACGCTTGAGCCACTGAGCTAAATCCTGGCCAAGAATTAAGATTATTAATAATAAAAAAATCCCTAAACACTAGGGTAAAACCGGCTACCATATTGGGTAACTGATATTTTATAAAACCAAGAAGTATTTGCTTCGGTGAGAAATCCTTTTTCTTTCAGAGGTTTCCTCATTTTAATTGCCCTTTCTTTAAGAGTTGCCCAGTACCATGAGTATGTTGTGGCTAAGACAGTGCTTATTTAATAGCCTTGTGGCAACCTGCAAAACCTGGAGTTTTGAAATTTTTCTGGAAAGTGTCTAGAAGGTTCTACTAAGAGTAGAACCTAAATTCTGAATCTATTTCAGAGTCAAATTTAGTCTGAGTTCCTAATTAAAGTTGAATAAAACAAAACAGGTTAATTTGTGTCAACTTCCTAGCCAACTTCCTTTTCCATTTCCTATAATGACTCAAATATTTATTGTTTTTCCCTTGCTGTCTTTCATGCAGATGACTGGATATCTGTACTTTACACATAGGAAAAAACAAAATGTAGTCCCATCTGATTAGGCCACCATCATGTCTGTGTCCCTGAGAAAATTTGTTTTTATACCATTTTTTTCTGTTTCATTCATAAGCATCTTATTACTGTATGCAGTGTCTTGTTCTGTTCTACCGTCAGCACTTTTTGATTCCTTCAGTGCTCTCCATTCAGTCGACTGTCCCTCTTTTACTTATATGTACAACTTTTAAATTTTCTTTCAATTACATACTTCTTTTATTTTGTTTAGGGTTCAAAACATAACCAAATTTTCTTCCAAAGTCTGAACCCTTGAACCCCTGAGCCTTGTTTCTTCAAACTTACATTCCTTTGTCTTATCTTGTAAAAAGGACATCCAACTTACTATGAATGCTATTTTCTCTAGACTATTTCCTCTGAAAAGCTAAAATCCTTCCTTCATTTGTGTAATTTCTCTTTAAGGTTCAAGTATGGGAATCCTCCCCTAATGACATTTAAGCTGCAGAGTCTAGGTTCAATATCTGTTCTTTGTTTTGTTCATCCCATGTGTTCCTCCCTTACAGTATTGTACTTTGCATCATCTTTCATTATCGTATTTTGTGTTTCTGCCTCCATCCTTAGACTATGAGCTCTCAGAGAGTATCATTCTCCAAATGTAGAATACACGTGATATAGAACATAATTTTAGTAGTACTCTTACAGTTGTGTAATACGGTTCCTGCCCCTTATTTCTGTGTTTAAAGAGCCTAATTCAATGTTTGGGATATTTAGGTACTATATAGGTAAGTAACTGTATGATATGTTGTGATACTCCTTTCTCTTTAGAATTTTTACAGAGTGAACAAAGTTTTTTAAGGCATAAGACAGTTGAGTTACTACAACTTTCAGTGTTTTGTTTATTGCCACATGAGTCATTATATTTTAGTAAATGAAAAGGCCAATTTATGTATTGCTAGTACCAAGTCTAGATTTTAAGCAGAGATGATCCCTAACATGAATTAATGATTTTTTAACTTTACAGTAGTATAGAAGCTATATATATATCAGTAATAACTCCTTCAGATTTTGAAATTTGATCTTTTTCTAGGCTAGTAATATGTAAGATCATACAGTGTTGATACTTGGCAGTGACTGTAAGCTACAGCTTTTCATTTGATCACAAGAGTATCTGTGCTTTTAGTATGCTGTGTTGTTAAACTCCTGCTATTTGTTAGAACAGGTTGTACCATAATGACTGTTTGAAATAACAGTGTTTTCACCCTCAGTTGCATTTATGGAGTCATAACTAACTACATAAGTCAAATATTATGTTTGACTTCACAAACACTGTGTTCCATATTAGAAGCTCAAATGAGTACATAAAATGTTTAACTTGTGAATTGTTTTGATGTATCAGTTTCATAATTATCATTTGATGTATACTTTTAAACTTAGGTATGAACATTTTTCTTCATGTCTTAATCAAGTATTAAGTCTTCTTAATGGGAAGGATCCTGATTCTTCTTCAAAGGTATGTAAAAACAGCATCTTTTTAAAAAAACTACTAGGTGCAGAAAAATCTTACGTGCACTAATCTCTGAATACTTACGAACTGTACAGTTTTAAAGTGTTTGGTCATTTTTTAAAGCAAAACATGCTTGTGTTTTTTAAAAAACTAAGTACATGCTAGAAAAATACATTTGTTGAAGTTGCCTTTCCCCTTTTGTTCTTGTAGTCCCACTAATCAGGTAAGCACCATTAGCAAATGTTTTATAATCTGAAAATATATCTCACTTTTGAAAAATAATATTAAAGGACAAATTAGAAATTATTTTCAATTTTTGTTTTAGGATATTTTCTTTACAAATGTGTGGCATTTCTTCATATGCTTATATGTCAAGGTTCAGTGAAACTGATGTTTAATGAAGACTTTATGTTGCACAGGTTTTAGAATTACTTCTTGCCTTCTGTTCAGTGACTCAGCTGCGCCATGTGATCACGCAAATGATGTTTGAACAGTCTCCATCTGGCAGCACTGCTTTGGGAAGCCGTTCTAAGTGCCTAGAGCCTACTGCCTGTCTGCTTCGGTGGTTAAACCTACCTTTGGATGGATCAGAACAGTGTTCTGTTTTAGCTTTGGAGTTATTCAAGGAAATATTCGAGGTAAGGGAATGATATACAAATGGACTTTATATGTTTATTCTTGATTAATTTGTTTTCAAATATATTTCATAGTAAACTTCTAATTTTTTATTTTTTATATGCTTTAAAAACACACTGTCTTCTTAATGGTTGATCTCATGAAATTCCTTGCCGTTCATTGAATCAACTGATCAGTTTTTTTCTACCAAAGTTTTGTGTGTGTGTGTGTGAGCACGTGTGAGCATATGTGCCTGTGTATATACATGTTCATGCATGTGAATAGCTTATACATATTAAAGAAAAGACATTAGCAAGATTTATGTGTATTGTGTGACAATACTTAGAATAAAATATTCTGTCTCTCCATGGCAGTAGATGTTGCTCGGTGTGTTTAATTAGCTATTGAGTGCATTGAAAGGACTGTTAGTGTCACATTAATAGAAGTGGGATATGCCAGACAATATGTGAGGCACTGAAAACAGAAAATCAATGTTAGTTTGTAGATTTTTCTGTCTGGACAATTTAGCATTCTGTCAGTTTTTATATTCAGTCGTTGTCTTAAAATATTTATCTTTTAATAACTGATCTTACGAACTTCTCCAGGATGCCATCGATACTTCTAATTTGTCCTTGCCTGACCGATTTGTGACCCTTCTGCTGCCTACAATCCTTGATCAGCTTCAGTTTACAGAACAGAATCTGGATGAGACTTTAATAAGGAAAAAATGTCAGAGGATGGTTAAAGCCCTTGAAGTTTTATTAAATATCCTTTACTGTCATAAAGATGAAAACTGTGAACTTTCTCCTACTATTAGATTTACTGCATTTTGTCTGTGTTTTTGTCACTCTCATGCTCATATCTAGTCAGAATTTAAACAAGTAAAATATTTAATGAAGAATCTCTAAAAGTAATCCAGACTTTTTGTCCTGTGTAAAACCTTTAAGCTAAATACATTTTAAGAAATACTCTTTCAAATTGATTGGAACACTTTTTATCACATTTTGAGATTTGGAGATGTATTCCAAAATGATTTTCTATTACTCATCATTCACTTTCATGTTTGATGCTAATTTCTGCCCTGGGATGATTAGTCTTGCCAGTTTTCAGTCTTGCCAGTTTTTGATGGAGTGTGTCCATAGATTAAAAAAAAAATACTGATAAAGCTGTTATAATTATAGGCCAGTTTTTTATTTTAGGTTTTTTTTTTTCCCTTCCAAATTTTCATTCTAAGTACCTGTTGACCAATGGTGATTACGTTCACTGTAGAGAGTTGGTGCATATGCATAATGGGTCCTAATTCTTTCTCTATTGCCTTCCCTTCCCTTCTCCCTCCCTCCATGTCTTCATCCCTTCCCATTTGCAAAAGATTCATCTGTTTCTTATTATCTTTTATTTCTTATCTTTTAGGTTTCTCATAAGAGAAACAATGAGTTATATTAACCTTATGTGTCTGATTTATTTCACTTAACATATGGTTGTAAGGCCGGGGATATAGCTCAGTGGCACTGCGCCTGCCTGGCAAGCACAAGGTCCTGAGTTTGATTCCTGGTACCAAAAAAAAAAAAAAAAAATTATGATCTTAAGGTATATCCATTTCCTACAAGTGATTCAGGTTTATGTGTACAGCAAAGTGGTACTATACTATGCAAGTTTGAGTTTTAATAAATAAAAGCTGCCACAAATGTTTTAGTAAAATTTTCACACTTGCTTGTAAAATAGAAAAGTGTATCAACACGTTTGTTACAAAAAAGAAAACCTTAAATTCAATTACATTCTCTACTTTTTGTATGCTGAGTCCTCTTAGTTTTATACCTTGATATTTGACTGCTTATCAAATTTGATTCTTGATTCATGTTGATGTGAAAATTTTGTCACAGTACTCATCATTTGTTTGCTGCTTACCGTACAAACTAGAACTTGTCAGTGTTAATTTCTGATGACCTACTACTCTTTCCAGCCAAAAAAATTTCTTTGGTACTTGTTATTTTTGGTTGGTATTTCTTGTACTTCCCAAAGCCAATTAATGACAAATACTGAGATAAAAAGTCTTTCAAAAAACCAGGTGTGGTGGCATGCATATCCTCCCAGCACTCAGGAACCAGAGGCAAGAGTATTGCTACAAGTTTGAGGGTACCCTAGACTATGTAGTGAGTACACCACCACCCTGAACTACATGTTAGACGTTGTCTCAAAAGGATGGATGAACAGAAGAGAGTTTCAAGTTCAAATTTTTTAATATTTCATTATTTGTCATCTGAGTCTTTATCCCCTCTCTTCATGAATAAAGGAGCCACTATATTTCAACCAGATCTCTCTGATTTATCTGAAAAATTTCATTGTATCTCAGGAACAAGAATATGTCCAACTTTGTTCTGCTCTAGAGCAAACTCCACCTCCTTTCTGGGCTGCCATTCCTTAATTTTTCTCTGCCTTTAAGTTACAACATTAACTCTCAGTGTTGGCTTAGTATTGAAATCACCTGGACAACAACTAAAAAAATAAAGAGATAGAAATATTCCTAAGCTTCTAATGCCATTGCAGTCATTTGAAACCTTTAGATTAGTGGAGGGTACCTGTGTTTTCTTTTTGTTTGTGATTCTGATGTGCTACCAAAGTCAGGAATTACTGCTGTAGAGACATTCAATTACTGTCCTCAACTTCAGTGATATTTGTACTTGGTATTGTCAGGCCTTCTCTAGTAATGGTGTCATAATTTGGATCTCAGTAATTCACTATAATTCACAATGTACACAAAATGAGAAAATAACTTCCCTTAGTTACACAAATATTACTGAAATATTGTTGTTGCTGCCAACAAAAAAATGAGCATCATATGGAAAAGAATCTTTTCTCTTTGAGTTTTACCCTTGAGTCAGAAACATCTGTATGTTCATCTGAGTCACTTTAGTACTCTGAGTTCCAGCTTTCTAGCCCATCATTGAGCAAGGATAACAGCAGTTATACCAGATTATAGTGATAATTTCTGTGAAAATATACTGAATGTTAAAAAATACAGAAATACAAAATGTTTTGAGAGTACTTTGTTTCTTAACAAAAAGTATCTCTTTGTGGAGATGATACTCTGAAAATGCACATTGCGAAAATTCTGACTACTATTAAGTGTACCACTCTGATAGAGCAACAGTTTACACATGGCAAGATTGATCTGGGATTTGGAACAAAGGTAGCAGATTCTGAATTATGGTGAGTATATGAAGTCCAAAGTGCAAAATAGTTGATAGCAGAAGAATATCACAAGATGATTCTTTAAGAATCATCCTTTGATGTTTGCTTTTAACTCAGACTGTGGCAGAGAATTAAACTATTACCATAATGAAATTTTTTGTTAAAAATTGAAAAGTCCCTTCAAATTATTTATTGCATGCTTCTAGAAAAGGCACTGGCATCTGTGGTTTGTGTTCATTGATTATGGGTGTGTGTGTGTGTGTGTGTGTGTGTGTGTGTGTGTGTGTTCCATGTTTGATGATCTCTGTGTATGTATGAAGTTTATTCCAGGGTCCTGATCATTGTTTTCTGGACTTTATTTTTGACATTTAATTTTTAAAAAATCTTTTTCTTCACTTTAAATTTTTAATGAAAAGCATGAAGAAACAGGAATGGCTTTATCACAAGAAAATCAGACACTGCTGAGATTTCTTAATGACAGAAAACTCTTATGTGAGGCATTACAGTTTAAAAATAGATAGTAATGAGTTGTTTTTAATTTTCCTTCCCCCTCATAAACTCAGTCCATCTAATAAATATTGGGGACCTGCTAAGTGCTAGACACTATAATTTGTTCATTTCCATACGTGACATCATTTTCACTAATTTATCTTCAAGAACAAGTATTCTTTACTTTTTATGTTCCTTTCAGATAAAAACTGAAAATGTGGCCTAGTGTAATGTATTGAACTACATATTAAGTGCTGTTTATTACCTAAGGCTGCCCTTTGTTGAAAATTTCAGTGTTATAGCTGTGAATTAAATGGATCATATTCCATTATTACTTACTTGAAGCAGAAAGTTGAAGCATGTGGATAGTAAGAGTAGAAAAAGAATCACTGATTAAACCTATACTGTTAATGCCACCTTTTTCTCAGTGGTGTTGACCACTGCTATTTTACTTTTCAGCAGAAATAGTATGTTATATGTGTAAGTTTTAAAAGCAAAGTTTTTTTTATTTTCTTTAGAATTATGGACAGAAATAAGCTCTAAGAAGTTTTTGAGAAATCTAATTTAAATATGACTTACTTTTAAAGCAAACTTGCTGCTGACGTAATTTTGAAAACTCTTGATTTAATGAACAAACTTAAACAGTTGGTTCCTGGTATGGAAGTAAGTTTCTACAAAATCCTTCAGGTGAGTCTTAAGTTTTTCAAATATTGGATATATTGATGTATAAGTGATTTCTAAAGAATATTTGTTTTAGTATTCTAAATCTTTAGATTATATTTATTTAAGATTTGGCCATTAGAAGACAGTGTGAAGTTAATTCTCTTTAATAATTACAATCGTTTCATAGTACCATTATTTCAAGTTTCACAGAAGTTGAAAACTAAGTCCTCTTCATTCTCATGTGCTAAGCGTTTATAATAATGTGTTCTCAGCCTTTCCTTTCTCTGTCATACTTACAGGTTTCTCTTTTTGTTGTTGGTCTATGAAGAAAGATGATATTTGTTTTAATTTGTGTTATTAGTGAGGTAGTGTCAAAGGAATAGGAAATACTTGGAAGAAAAGGACTTGATTGTGAATGATAAATTAGAGGAGGTACTATATTCAAAAAGTAGATAACTTACAGATTTCAGTGGTAATACTAGGTAAGAGCTTTACATGTTATCAAAAGTCAAAATTACCACAGTTTTAGTTTGAAGATCTAATAGATTTTTATTTATATTTGACAATATCTGAGTTTATTCAAACAGAATGAACATTCTTTGAGCAGAGGGAGGTTGACTTTATAGAAAGAAGAACTGAAGAAACCAGAAATAGGGAACAAAGGAGAATAGTTGTTTCAGTTAAAGCAGACTGGACTTTCTTTTTATGCTGCTACTGTTTTTATTTGGTGGTTTGTAGAAAACTATACCAATTTAAAGTTCAGAGTGATTGCATGACACTCAGCCAAATGACTCCATGCGGGTTTGATCTGGTCTTCTGAGGCTTAGTGCAGGATTTAGTAAAGTATATTTTAGTATCTGTAGCAGAAAACAAAAATTAACACAGTTTAATGTTTGTACTACTATTAGTGCAAGCTTGAGCAGTTATTATGTCTGTCTATACTTCATTTTACTGCATGGAAAATTAGAATAACTCGAGGAATTAGAATGGGTTTCATAGAGATACAGAATGAAAGCCTGCTCTTAGCATAGTTCTGTGGCATTGAATTATTCATGAGCATCTACAAGGCATTTAACATTTTATTTATAAATGATTGATACTAATCTTTATTAATACTCTTTTAGAGACAAATCAAAATATTTTGTCAGTTTTTAGACATTTTTCATAATGCATGATTCAGGGTTTATGGTACTAATGTAAAATATTTACTGATATGAAGGCCTTTGAGTACATGTCTTTAGTCATTTATATTTTGCAACTTTTAGTTTAAAACTTAGCCATTTTTATTTTATAATGGTAATTAAAACCCTTCTGAACATTAGTCAATTGTGAGTATTTTTAATTCATCAAAATATTTAAAGTATAATTTTCCTAGGGACAATTACAATATTTAAAACTTTTGCCAAATTTTTAAGTTAATATTAATTGCATGACAGTGTAAATAGCTCTAACCAGGTAAAAAGTCTTAATACATAGTTAGACATTAGATGATACATAGACATTAAATGATAGAAACGTCTTAGAATTGCTGTCCTTATTCTAAAGATCTGACATTGTTTATTCTTTCTGTCTCTTCATTTTCTGTTTCTTGATTTGTTTAGGATCCACGTTTAATTACTCCTTTGGCTTTTGCTTTAACATCAGATAACAGAGAACAAGTACAGTCTGGATTGGGAATATTATTGGAAGCCGCTCCCCTGCCAGATTTTCCTGCTTTAGTGTGAGTAGTAGTCTGTTGTAATGTATCTGTGTTTGACTACTCCACTATATTTCTTGAATATAGATAGATCAGTAAATTAGTCAATTGGAAATTTCATTGTATCAATGACCTTTCAAATGATTAAAATTTTATTTCTTCAGGTAAAAACAGAAGTATACTGAAGGAAAAGTTAAGTCCTGGTGATGAAATGTCTTATTCAAGTACTAACCTTGTTTCTTACCATTTCTTTTTTGATGTAGTAGGTTCTGGGTACTCTTAAGATTACATCCTACCAGTTTATTTCCTTTATAGAAAGAACAAGCATCACTTTGTGGTCTGGATCATTTGCCCAAGAAACAGCTATGAAAACTGCATGACTGAAAGTTAGTTAGCCTAGGGGAGTGAAAGGCTCCTATTACGATTTATTATAAAATGTCGCTCCAAATTCTTGTGTGTGTAGATCACGGTGGGGAGTATGCTCATCAATGGTGTATTCACTGCCAAATCCTACCTGTGCTCCTAGGAAGTGGGCCTGTTGAAAAGAGGTGGATCACTGAGGGTGTGGTTTGACAGGGCTCACATCCTCCTTTGCTCTTCCTCTCTGTGCTTCTTGACTACCATGCAGTGCGCCACTGTCCTCTGCCCAGATCATTCCACCATGCCCTTCCGCCTCGGAACCAGCTGAAGATGGACTGCAACTTCTAAAATCTTAACCACACCTTTCCTTTAATTTGTGGGTGTTGGGTATTTTGTCCCAGTGACAAAAAAGTAACTAAGATAAGTTCTTAAAGTAAACGCCTTTGCCTCAGAAAATGGAATACAGGAGGTAGTGCCCAATTAAATTCAATAGTGCTTGAAAAATTTTTGAAAAACTTTCAAATTTGGAAGGAAGCCCTCTATAAACAGTTACCAAAATGTCTACTACAGTTCTACTTTAGTACATTTTTAAAACTTTAAATGGCTTATTATATAGATAGGTTTCTAAAAATCGTCTGGATAATTTGAAACAATTGGTAAAATGTAAAACATTCCCTATATGCCAAAGGTCCAAAAGTGGGACAAGGACAAACATTCATTTTATAATGAATATTTTTTTAGCAACAACGACAAAAAAAAATTAGACAAATAGGAACTATCTTCTGTGACAAATTAGAAATAGTGTATGAATGAAGGTGTACCTTTTTTGGTGGCTTGTATACCTCAGTTGTGTTCATCTGAACTTGGGACATTCAGCAGCAAAGCTTCAAGTACACTGTGCTTGAAATTTCATCCTCTGCCTGTGTAAGAGACCATGCCGCCATCACTATGTCTTGTAGATAATTTTCATAAGGGTACATGTTTATTATACTATCCTTATTTGACATTATCTTAGGCAATTTAATAAGTTGAATTTATTGGATAAATGCATAGGTACATTTTTGGCCAGTTTTATTTATTTAACAAACATTTTTTGAGAACCAATTATGACTATATGTAGGCATTTTGTCTATGGCAGTAAATTAGACCAATTGCATGCTGTCAGTTGGATTTGCATGCTAGTCAGGACATAAATTCTAAAGTAAGATTCATATTTTGCTTATCACTGTGAAGAGCAAAAGGGATTAATGTTAGTACTACATATGGCATTAGTGAAGGCCTCTCCGAGGAGATGAATTTGATCTAAGAACCAATGATAAGAATAAAATAATCTGTGATGGTAAAGGAACAGCGTAAAGGTCCCAACACAAGAATAAATTGAACTTTCGAAAGGGCAGAGTGGAAGTCAGGGAGATGAGAATATAGTTGAGAAGGTGAATTTGAGAAAGGACATGAAGACCCAATGGTTTCACCCGTGGCAGGAGGCTTGCTCTGAACAGTTCCAGAAACTTTGTACTTGCCACACATAAGCCATTTTCACAGACTAGTTCGGTGGTGCCTCCAAACCAAAAATAGGATTGCCATTACAAAGACTTATAAGTAGGAAAGGGAATCCTCTGAGAAGTTCAAGATAACCTAGTTCAAGACCATTTTTGAAAATTTCTATTCCAAAAAAAAAACAAGACCATTCTGAGAGTTGCTAACTGACTTTTGCTCCACTAACGAGGTATTTTTTCTTTGTTTCTGATTTTCATTCAGACTTGGAGAAAGTATAGCAGCCAACAATGCATATAGACAACAGGAAACAGAACATATGCCCAGGAGACTGCCTTTGCAATCATTAAATCACAGCTTCCCAACAACACTGAAGTGTTTAACTCCTCCCCTGTTGAAAGATAATGTCCCTGGATTGAACATTGAGGAATTAATAGAAAAGCTTCAGTCTGGGATGATGGTAAGTAATAAATAGCAATTAGAAATAGAATTAGAATGGTATCTACTAACAGATGTTGGTTCTGATTGTATCATTTATGTAAATAAATTAAAATATCACAGAGATTTTATCTTTTGATAGAAAAAGTATTCTGAAAAATTTAGAAAGAAAGGGAGAAAATACAGTCATAAGATTCAAATATTTTAACACAGCTATAATTCCTTTACTTATCCCCTTTCTGGCCACCTAGCTTAAAAGGAACTTTTTTAAGTTGCCATCTTAAGTATATGGAATCTTACTCAGATTTTTTCTGCATTGGCCAGATTACAGAAATTGTGAGTCATGTGATGTAGCAGGTTTTTTTCCTTTGTTGTTCATCATTATTTTTTAATGATTTTGTTACATTTTATCATTTTTTCAAGTGCTACCATTCATTGATATTTTTTTCATCTCCAATAAATCCTAGGTAAAGGATCAGATTAACGATGGGAGATTATCTGACATAATGGATGTGTACGAGATGAAACTATCCACATTAGCCGTGAGTACATGTTTAAGTACATGTAATAAGCTTTCAAATGTTTTCCTAAAACTACGAAAATTAATTGTATATTTTCTTATAGTCCAAAGAAAGCAGGTTACAAGATCTCTTGGAGGCAAAAGCTCTAGCTCTCGCACAGGCTGATCGACTGATTGCTCAATATCGCTGTCAGAGAACTCAAGCTGAGACAGAGGTGGGTACAGCTGACATCTAATGAACGGAGAATGTAATTGATGGAATAAAACAAAGGAAAATATTAGTTATATATTTATTGTTCTAATTGAACTAAATTGTCCTGAACATATGACACATCTCCATCTTTTGAAATTCTGTTTCCTTTAATTTTCATACATCATTCGTTGTCTTCTGACTTTTTTTTTCCAATTGATACTCTTTTTCTGTATCATTAGTGGTCTGCGCTTCAGTGTTGGAGGTCATTAGGATTATGCTCTTAAACTCTTTTCCTTTACTTACTTGTTTGTTCCTTTATATATTTGTTTTATGGTTTTGACCATTGCTAAAATTTTAATGTTTCCAATTTTCTGTCAAGCACAGATCTATTTCCTAAGCACTGAATTTCTCCTGTATCGGTATGTTTTTGTATATAAGTACTTCAAATTCAGTGTAACCTGTATAGTGAGGAATCACTGTTAGCTTTTAAAAACTTACTAAGTATTTGCTGTACTATAGTTCAGTTTTATAAATAAGAAACATGAAAATTACACAGCTCTTCTCAAGCAGTATTCACCAAGTCCACTTGATTCTGCCTCTACCTATTATTATTTCCTGTCTTGTCTTGTTCCTACCACTATTCGCTATAGGTCAAGTTTTCTTTTTCCATATGACTCCCAGCAGAGCCTCTAATTAGTCTTGCTATGTTTAGTCTAGTACTATGTGCTCAGGTATCCTTGGCACTTCTGCCAAGACTGTTTTATGTTTTTGCTTCTAGTATCTCTCACCCTTTAACCTTACGGATTGCTCGAGTGATAAGCTGATTCCCTTCCCTCTTGTGCTACACATCTTTATAGTACCCACCGTTGCTTTCAGAATATAATTAAAATTCCTTAATGTGACACACACAGATTTTAATTGCTTCTTAAACCACATCTAGCATTTATGCACATGCACTGCAACCAACTCTATCAGACTACTTGACATTTTTTAGAACTCGGTATACTGTTTCCTTGTTTTTATACTTTCTATTTCATGTCTGAGACATCTTTTTATCTTTTTCCTTTTTTTCAGTCTTCAGATTTAATTTTAAATACCTCCATTTTCTGAAAGCCACTCTTGTATTTGACCACTTTTCCTCTATGTATCTACTCTGTACTTACAACTTTATAATGTTTCATATACCATGTGAAAATCATTGTTACCCCTCACTTCATTTGTGATATGAGAGAGACTGTATCTCAGGACTTTGAATATCCTTTATATATAGAAGGTGCTTGGTAAGTTTGTCTTTGTGCTATGTACATATATATATACATGATGTATATCTTATAGGTAAGAGTTTGCTTCAACAATAGGAAATTTTAGTATGTACAAAGGAAAATCTTTACAACTTGATTTCATTTATAATGAATTATAACATGTAACATATGAAAGAAGCATTAAATCATTGACAAGTAAAATACTTTTAAAATGTTCAAAATATATATATTTTGAAAAATACAGTGAAATACCACCTTTTATTTTCTTATTTTAAATAGGAAATTTATCGTAGCATAATTTTGTCTTAGCATAAATTCCAAGAAAAAAAGTGACGTTAATTAATTCTCAGCACTTAGAACGTTCCTATATTCTTTGTATTTTAGATATGTCTTGATTTTATTAGAGATTTTAGTGTTTTACACATATTACTGGAAAAGTTCTTGTAAAATACACTAAATAATTGGTAGTATTTTATAGTCCATATCAAAAACAAAGTAGTTCTTAGGTTTTTATCTGTCACTTAAGTTATATTTTTAAGACTAATGAGGTAGAACCACCCTCTTTTTATAATTACCTTTTGCTTCCCTAATGTTGCATGTCACTAAATTACAATGGTATTCCCTGCTTATTCTGACTTAACTCTTTAAATTAAGTAACTATGATATAGTTAAGATCTTATTTTTGATTCTTATCTGAAATGAAAAAACTGGTATGTACAAATTTAGTGGTTTAATGTTAATGTCAAGATCCCAAAACTGTACCCTTTTAAAATATATCAAGTTTATTTTTCTGTTACAAGTAATGTTCATTTTATTAGTCTGGTCATATATTGTCAGAACAATATATTAAATAAAACTTAGTAAAATACTGTTTGAACATACCTAATCTAAAATCTTGAAATTCAAAATACCTTAGCATCCAAGTTTTTGAGCATAGACATAATGCCACAAGGGGAAAATTCCATATCATGAAACTTTTCCTCACATAATTAGTAAAAATATCTTCTAGAGTTATTCATGTGTATATAAATTATATATAAAACAAATAAATTTCATCTTTAGGATCTTACTTCAAAAAAGTTTATTATATATATGCAGATATCCCCAAGGTCTAAGGAATCTGGAGTCAAAAATACTTCTACTCCTATTCATTTGAGATAAGAGATATTGTGTCTCTTATCAGATTTCTGAGTAGTAGTTAGGTAAATATATATAACTAAAAGAATTTTCCCCAACTCAATTGCTTACCTATTAAATATTAGATATGTTCATATTACATTTGTGCATTAGTTAACTGGAAGTATATTCTGAGAAGTGTGTCGTTAAGCAATTTCATTCTGGGGCAAACTATATATAAGCTTATGGCTATGGTGTAGCAAGACAGCATCATTTTACAGAACCACCATTATGTATGTGATCTGTTAAATGTTATATGATATATAAGTATATATAATTGATAATGAAAAAGTACTGTTTTCTTTTAAGGCACGAACACTTGCTAGTATGTTGAGAGAAGTTGAAAGAAAAAATGAAGAGCTTGGTGTGTTGCTAAAGTCACAACAGCTTGAGTCAGAAAGAGCTCAGAGTGACATTGAGCATCTCTTTCAACATAATAGGAAGTTAGAGTCTGTGGCAGCAGAGCACGAAATACTGACAAAATCCTACATGGAACTTCTTCAGAGGTAAATTAAAAGTTTCAGTGTAAGGGTAGAACCTGGACTGAACACACTATATTTCCTTTCTGTGACTCTAAACTCCTTTTTGTAAGTATGTCATACATTCTGAAAACACCATAAAAGAAGTAATTAGCAAGATACTGATTGCTTCCTTAAACTCCTTAGCAAAGTTGCAAATAGCATACAGGACTCTTTCTTTCAAATTGACTTCTTCATTCATTGATTAACCATAGTCTGAGATTTTGTCTGTTTTGATCATTGACAAATCTTTGTGGCTTAGAACAGTTCTTGATACATTCATAGTTAGGCACTCTTAATTGTCAAATAAACTTGATTGTCATAAGTAGCATTAGGTTAAACATAATACAATTGTGCATTTCTGCAGGGCAAACAATGGATATTGGCAGTTTCATTCAGTCTAATAGAGAAACATGCTTAACTTATTCTTTTAGTGTCATTAAATGTAGTTTATTTGAATTAGTACATCTGTAGAATAAATTCTTATAAGTGAATCACTAGGTTAAAATGTGTATATAATATATTTGAAATTTTGATATTTTCAGATTTCCCTCCAAAAAAGTTGATCAATTCTTATGTCTACTAGCAGAGTTTGATAATTTTTTTGATAATTTTTTCCTCCCTTATCAAATGGTTTTGCCTTTTGGCTAGTTTTAAAATTTCTAATTACAAGGAAGACTATATACAAAACAAACAAACAAACAAAAAAAAAAAACCCAGCACTTGGGAGGTGAGGTGAGGATTGCTTCAAGTTCAAGGTCAGCCTGAGCTGCATAGCAAGACCCTGTCTCAAACACACACACACACACACACACACACACACACACACACACAGATATAGAAATTTAGAATCCTAAACTTTTTAAAAGATAGCTGTATATATTTACATCAGTTTGTATAATGCAATATCATCTTCTAAGCTAAAACATTAAAACTGAGACTAATAACCGACGTATTTCTATTATTAATTTTAACCACATCAGCCAAAACATATCTTCACTGACTTTTAATTGATTGAATTCTGCCTGTGTCTTGCTTGTTTATAACATTCCCCTCTTAAAAGTATTGTTTTACGTATAATTTCAGTATCTGGGTTGCTGAGGCAGGAGAATTTTTAATTTAAGCCCAGCCTCTGCTATTTAGCAACATTCCAAATTCAAAAAAAAAAAATAAAAGAACACTATTCCATTTTTGCAACCTATGTTTTCTACCATCAAGATACCAACTTGTTTCCTTGTCTTTTCAGAAATGAAGCAACTGAAAAGAAGAATAAAGACCTACAGATCACATGTGACTCTTTGAATAAACAAATTGAAACAGTGAAAAAATTGAATGAATCACTCAAGCAACAAAATGAAAAGTAAAATCTCTGATTCTATAATTATTTAGTATTTTTTTAAATAAAATATTAGTAAAATTAGGAGTATCACTTTAAATACAAAATATTGATCAGTTTTACAGGTAATTATGGTTTACAATTTTTTCCTTAATTGTTAGAGACAAAAAGACATAATGTGGTACACTGGTTTTTCTTTTATAATTTCAGATCTATTGCCCAATTAATAGAGAAAGAAGAACAGAGAAAAGAAGTCCAGAACCAATTAGTTGACAGAGAATGTAAATTAGCAAGTAAGTAGTTTCTTATTTAAGACAGTCTCTATTTTTTGCATGTTTTATGTTAGAATAATATCAAAATTTGAATGATTTATTTCACCTTTTCATTATATTTTACTTGCCATGTAAGTCATACCCTAAACAACTTTCCTTTTTTTCTGTAACATTTCACTAGGCAATTTTCTTAATAGGCATATGTATTTTCTAAATATGAACTAGAAGACCATTTTACAGCATTTCACGTCAAAATCCACTAGGGAGCGCTCTAACAATACTTTTTTAGTACTGTTGTCTGAGATAACAAACCACACCAGTCAAGTCAAACAAGGATTGCTAGTAACTTCAGCAGCTAAATCCAAATGCAACATAAAACAGGAATAAAATATCCCACTAAAGAAGTATCATACTCTTCACATGTTCTCAATTTAAATGTATAATCATTTTAAGAGAAGTCATTGCATAAAAGAGACAAGGCATAAGCAATTAGCAAAGGCAAAGCATAGGGGCTGGGGATTTAGCTCAGCGGCATAAGCGCCTGCCTTGCAAGCAGGTAGTCGTGAGTTCGATCCCTGGTACCGATAAAAAAACAAAAAAAAGACCACAAAAAAAAAACAAAAAAAAGGCAAAGCATAAAATTGAAGGATGATAATTTTCATTACCTAAGCAAGTCATGATCCAGAATCAAGTTAAAATATTTTAGATGTGCCGTGAAACAAGCAAACTCCTACCTTCTTGCAGGGCCTTCAAGATGATGTAGGGGAAATGGTAAATGTCAAATATGCTGAGTTTGTGTTCTCTGAAGTTAATGAATTCTAAGGATCAGAGGTTGAGTAGGAAAATTTATTGGGAAAAAGAATGGGGAATAGGAGTAGCTCTTGAGAGACAGGAGGGTCCCAAATGGCTGCCTACAAAGCGGTTTTCTTCAGTTGATCAAGTAGGAAAAGCAAAGTAATTTTGGGAATCTGGTTTTAAGAAATGCCCTTTAAAAATAAAATGCTTTTGAGGAACATAACAGCAGGTGGCACTGCTGGGTAACTTTTAGTCAATGGTTTCTTAATGCTGTCTCTGTACATGACCCATTAAAAACATTTTTGTTCTAGTTCACTTGCCTTCAAGCACAGAGAACTACCTATATAATCTTTCAGTGCTCACTCTCCTTTTCCCTTCTAACCCCAGTTGCTCTTTCCTTTAATATCTACTGCATTTAGACAGGAAGGGGGAAAAGACGGGTAGAATTGTCATTTTCTATAGAATCCAGTTAAACCTTGGGTTATGAACATAATTTTTTCTGCATACATACTCGTAATCAAAAGCACTTCATATCAAAACAAATTTCCCCATAAAAATAATGGAAAGTCAGATGATTCGTTCCACAACCCAAATATATTCATATGAAGAGAATTACAATAATATAATACAAAATAATAAAATGCAAACTATAAAGAAAAATGAACCTGCACTTACCTTTACAAACCTTTGTGGCTGGGAGATAAGAGAGGAGCATTATTGTATAGGATGACTTACACTGTGATTAATGGAATCGCTGTTGTTTATTAGCTCAGTGGAGTTTTTTGTGTGTATATGTGCAGCTGTAACAAAGAACCTATCACATGATACTCGCTTTTGCCTCCTTTTGAGAATTTCACAGAAATGTGACATTGCATTGTCATTAAACAGATTCAATATTATTAAACTGCCTTATTTGTGTGATGCTTTTCTACAAAATTTTATACTATTTCCCAATTTTACAAATCTCCCTAATCTCATTTGCAGTGAGAGATTCCTCCTTTTTTCTCCTCTGCAGATAAGATGTCTTGCTGTTGGGAGAAGATCACCCATAATACTGCAGAGAGAGGAAGAACCATTGGTTCATTTGTGATCATGTGACATTTAGCATCATGTGCTACTCCTATTGCAAGACATTGCTAGTTTTCAAGTGTAAATTTATTAGAAATGTTTGTCTTGCAGAACACTCCAGAACAAGTTACTTTAAGGGAAGTTTCATGTTTTCATTCAGCAAATTCTATACAACTTGTATTTCTAGCAAGTATTTCTTTAGTCTTTCTCATCTCTTTTCAGGATGTCAGTTTAGACCACTGAATACATAACCGATTGTTTGTTTGTTTAAAGATTTTCATCAAAAAGCAAAAGTACAAGAAGAAAAGATTAAAGTCTTACTAAAGGAAGGGGAAGACAAGGAAGAAACCATTGATATCCTTAGAAAGGAATTAAGTAGAACTGAACAGATGAGGAAGGAACTGAGCATTAAGGTAAGACTACTCAGTTTTCATTTGCATTAGAATGGAAATACTATTCAGTAGCCAGGAATAGAGTCCTAGCACTCTGGGAGGCTGAGGCAGGAGGATGGCAAGTTCAAACCCAACCTAGGCAGTTTAGAAATTTATAGGCAGGGATGTGGCTCAATGCAAAGACCCTATTATATTCAATCCTCACTACCCCTACCATCCTCTTCAGCCTATCCCCCAAACAACATTATTTGGGGAAAAGGGTAAGTTTGGATAAAGTATTGTTCTGTGGCTTTAGTATTTTGTTTAAAACACATTAGTTCTTGAAATGTTTCAACTGTCATTTGCTATGAGAGCTCTCTTACAATGTGAAAACCCTACATTTATAAAAATCATTAAACATTTATTAAATGTATACTGCATACCAGTGCTTAGAGCTTTCAAATGTGCAAAAACCTGCAGAAGGGGGTTTCCAGTACTTGGTATTGCATTTATATATCTATATATAGGTATATAGTTATATAATAGTACCTGAATACTAGTAACTTACAAATGAGGAAATGGAGTCTGAGATTACAAAAGCATAGTAATAGAAAAATATTCTGAATCTAAGTCCAGTTTTGTTTTTATATTATTATAATTGCATAATTTGAATAATAGCTATATATTGTGCTTTCTGGCCTATTTAGTAACCAGGAAGATGAGAAGAGATTGAGTGTAGAAGACTGAGGTATTAAAGGCCATGAGTACCAAGAAAAGGATAAAATTTAGTGCCACCACAGTTACAGTTTTGGGGCATCTGCTTCAATGTGGTTATCTTTTTAGTAATCCTCAACAATATTATGTATAGTATTTTCTTCAAAATGTTAGCTATTAGCATTGAAAGTACAAGTTAAAAATATCTTCCCAATTTTATTTCTATACCTAACTACCGCTAAGCTCAAACTTACCATATAATTTAATTAACTTAAATATGATGCATATTTACAGTGTCTTAAAATGTTTGTCTTAAAAATAAAGGATATAAGAATCTTAAAGTAGCTGTGAGAAAAAGCATACTAAGTTACCTATCTTCTCAATTTTTTATCCCCCTATTCCTAATTCCCTAGGCTTCGTCCTTAGAGGTTCAGAAGGCCCAATTAGAAGGTCGTTTGGAAGAGAAAGAATCTTTGGTGAAACTTCAGCAAGAGGAGTTGAATAAACACTCTCACATGATAGCAATGATCCACAGTTTAAGTGGTGGAAAAATAAGTCCAGAAACTGTGAATCTTAGTATATAAACATTATGACATTTTGTAAATTGTGATCTAGAGATATTTTTGATGTATTTATGTGTTTGAGGGGGGTGGCTAAAGGAAGTAATCTGTGACTTCAAACCAAGTGGAAATTATTATTTAATTATTAATTTAGTAAAGATCCTAATTTGATGCATGTTTTATTTGGTCATTTGAATAGAAATTCTTTTCAAAGTTTCACTTTCTATTTTAGCTTTTATTGCTTGAAGATTTCTTTGGGTCTTGCATTAGATTATCCTTCCTAAGAAATCTGTATTGTCTTTTTAAAGTTCTATTCTCTTTTGCATATCTAATTTATTCTCATATGTAATTATAATTATGGGTTGAAAAACAAGAAAGCCATTTCTTGATATGACAGTATGTTTTGATAAATGCATCATTAAGTAAATATACTTAAATTAAGAGGACTAGACATCATTACTGGATAATATCTTGTACAACCACCAAGGTAAATGGGCTGTATTAGTAGCTGTAATGGCATTGCATAGAACACATGACAGTTTTAGTTTTAAAATTACAATGTCTTGATACAGCAATCTTAAAGATCAGTAAATTAAAAACATAACTATTAGAGATGATACTAGAGAATTTTATCTGTAAAATAGCATAAAAGAAAGTATCAGTGAACATAAAATGAAGTAAGATACAAGTTCTAAACTTGAAAAAAATGTAGTGAATAATTATCACAATGTACTAAAGTTAGGAGAGAGCTGCTCTTTTCCAAAGATGATGATGTCTCATAAAAAAATACTTGTAGAATTACTTGTAAGATATCTTCAGTTTGTATTTTCTGTTTTTAAAATGCTATTTGTCATACCCATATCACTTCCAATTATGAATTTATTGTTATGACTATTAGATAGGATAATTTGGATTCTACCCTTGCTCTATAGTTAGCACTACAATATACATTTAATTTATAGTGTTCATTTGGGCCATTTGATTTTAAAACATAGTTTAAATATTCATGTATTTCTTTTGAACAAGTGAGTTATTCAGTACAAAAGTACATTTAAATTGATCTAAATGTGCTTCAGAACATTTTTATGTCAATTATTCTGATTGATTTTATTGGTATGTTATTGCAGTCTATGCTGTTCTGCATCTGTTTGACTTAGGTGAGTTTAAATTCTGATTTTAAACTATAGTATATCTGAGTTTATGTTTAGAAGTTAAAGCAAAATGTATTTTGTTAATTGCATTAAGGAATACAAAGCTAAATCTTACATATTTATGTACCTTTTGTTCAATTCTGAAATGCTTTAGAAGTTTTCTACAAAGTAGAACATTTTAAATTACTACTTTAGAGGTAAATTCGGTTTCTTCAAATTTCATGCATTTTAAATTACTATGAAAAAAATCATTAAATGGATAGCTATAATTCGAGCAAAATGTCCTGTAAAGTGAAAAGAACAAAACATTAATTGAGTGAATGAATTTAAAACTCCAGAGAAAAGCACTGTTTCAACAATTTAAGCATCTCTTGACATTGAATCTGGTCTAGTGTGATCCAGTAGAATTCCCTGCGATGATAACGGTGTTCTGTAGCCAGGCTGACCTATATACCACAGGACAGTGATGGCAAAACACTTAGGAGACAAGTACCCAAACTGCAGCCCAAGCCCTATTTACTTATCACAAAGGGCCAGTACTGCAATTAAACCTGAATACTAAGGATTTGGTTTAGATAAAAGAACTCGTACATTAGCATCTTTTATCTTAAAATCAAAGAACGTATATGCCGTAGGTTCACCACCACTGCCATAAGACATTAGCCATATGTAACTATTGAGCATTTGATTTTAATTAATTTTAATTTAACATCTTAGTGGACAATGCAGATCTAACCTGTTTTTGTAAGAATTCATTCATTATGAATTTATTGCCTTACTTGTGATTTTTGTTTTATTTTCTGAGCAAAGATCTTACTATGTAGGCTAAGCTGGCCTTGAATTTAACTCCAAGTGCGGGAGTTACAGGCTTGTGCCACATACGTAACACAATTTTCATAGTCTCACTTTTTCTATGATTTTTTCCCCCACCATTTCAGTTACGGTCAATCATGATAACTCATAGTTCCATTTACTGTTTATACTTCTAACTTGAACAAATGAAGACTTTTTTTTTTAAAGTTGGCTGATTTAAAAGTTTTTAGTAACTGGGCACAGTGATACCTATAATTAAGATACTGAGCTAGGAAAACTGCAAGTTGAAGGCCTACTTAGGCAACTTAGCAAGATCCTGTTTCAAAAATTAGAGTGGCATAGCAAATACCAAAACTTAAAGGGTCTGAGGGTATGACTCAGTGGTAGAGCACTTGCATGACATGCAAAAGACTCCAGGTTTATTCTCCAGTATTGCAAAAATAAAGTTTATAGTAAAGTTTATTCAATGCCAAAACAAAAACAGTAAGAATGTAATACTGTGTTTTATAGTGATATTACCAGATTAGTGTTTGGGAGGAGTCTATCTGTATGCCATAAAGATTAATTACCTTAAAAATATAAAGAGATTGTGTTTTGTGTTAGAACTGTTATATTAGTTAGGCCTCATGAGACATAAGGTCTCTATCTGTCTTTTTGAGATAGGGCATCACTATGCAGTTCAGGCTGGCCTTGAGTTCATTTGAGGTCCATGTCATAACTATTCAGTCCTGCAATTGTAGCACTAAAGCAGCCACAAAAGATACTTAAAATATTCAAGGCTGTTTTCCAATAAAAGCGTTATAAACAAAAACAAAGATTTACTATTGAATATTAAATCTGCTTACTAAGAAATATACTTATTTATTTCATAAGCTTTGTCTCAAAAATTATTTTATTTGATCATAACATAGGTACTTTTATGTTTTCTCTTGGCCTGTTCTTTTACTCTTTACATTTAACTTTTATGTTTATATATAAAATATATGAGTTGTAGTTGTTTAATTAGGTATTCCTTTTAATCTATTTTGACAAAATAAGTACTATTACCATTATACTCTTACTATACCACTTAATGTGAGATGTATAAAAGCATATCAGACCATTTATCTTCTCATTCTTAATGCTGTAGTTGATATATGTATTACATCTGTATGCTTAACTAATCCCCAAAGCAACATAATTTTTTTCTTTAAACAGTTACTTATAAAAAGTTTGACTCTCAAAATCATCATGTATTTACCTATTTGTATGCAGTAATACAAAATAATGTATTTACTATAGCATAACCTTTTTATATTTGAAAGTAATAAATGACTTGTAGGCAGATACTGCAAGTACTTGTTTCTTTCCCAACCTTCATTTGTGAGGTTAAGCATCTGTTCATAATTCTTGCCTGAATCAGTTGTTACTCTGATGTTTTATCAAGTGATTCTTTTAACTTATGATGATAAAAAAATTGAACATTTTTGTACCATAATGTACCAGAAATAGCAGTCTTAAACTATATAATTTATCCTACCATTAGGCAAATTAAAATATAGTACACTTACAGTTTTACAGTTTCTTGGGTGGGGGTGCACTCTTAGACGCCAAGAATTTGAGATTTTCTTTTCACAGTAAAATAGTAGCTTTTTTTTTAAACTATGCTGAATCTATATATGTATGTGTGTATTTACACACACAGATAGGCATATCTCCCTCTTAAACTACACTTGTCTTTTGGACATTATTTTCCTTCCCAAACTTTTAATTTGAGAATTACTCATTTAAGTCATGAATTTCTCAGTCATTCTTGCTTTAGCTCTCTCTTTGATGACCATTAAATATTAAATGTGTTATTACCAACAAGTATTGCATTAAGAAAATAATTATGCGTTTCAGCCTTCATGGAGTTTATATTCAAGGTAATTTTTAAAAAATAAAATGATGTTTTATTTGATTTTCTTAGAAGTCTGATAAATACATTACAGTTTAGATCTAAAAATGTCCCTTAAAGCCTCAAGTGTTTGAAACACATGATCAAAGCATTACAACTGACCTGCTGTTAGGTAGGATTCAATCAGAAGAAGTGGGTCACTGTGGCTGTGGCTTAAAAAGAGATACTTTGCTTCTTGGCTCCTCCTCAGCTCTGCTTCCTGGTTCCTTAAGGTGAGCAGCTTTTCTTCTGCCATGCAGTTCTGCCTTGGAGCCAACTTACTGTGGACTGAAATGTGAACCAAAATAAATCTCTCCTTAAGCTGTGGTATCCAGTATTGTCTCAGTGCCAAGAAAGTGACTAAGGTGTACTTGGAAGTGTATGCCTCTGAAGTTCATAAATTAAGAGGAAACATGAAATTTACAATCATGGGTTCATTTTCAATGTGCAAATCACTTTGAAATCATATGATCCTTATTCTGTTTAGCATTTTGTGTCTAATTGTCTTTCAAAGACTGTAAGACCTACTTTGGTTATACTTACGTACATCTAAATGTTTCTTTAATTATATCATTAAGTTGTGGTGCCCTTGTTCTCAGAACCAAGCTTTTTTTTTTTTTTTGCCCATTTAGCTGTAAATATCCCTTAGAGGTCATTAAATACAAAGAAATATCTTCCCTGTGAACTAAATATACTTTTATAGCTATCTAATCTTCAAGCATTCAGTGTTTATTTCCTTGTGGTCTCAAAAAAAAGTTGGATAATCCTAGGATAAATAACAAAAGGCTTTTTATATGAATTTGCAGAGTGACATTTGCAAAGTTAATACATAGATTGGTTTTCAGTTTCATTATGTTATTAAAAACTTAATTTTCCAGTAAGTAGCTGAGCATTTGGCATCAGTTCAGTAGTGAACATGAGTCTACCTTTCCATTACATGATCTACACTGTTATTTTAGAGTTACATTTCATTTTGCTTTATCTAAACAAACAAGGACACAGTGTATTAGATGCTCTTACCATTTTCTCAAATTTCAAATAGAAAGGCTTGTGATTAGCCCTGGGAAAAAGCACTTCTCATGTTCAGTAAGACTGTTAATTTACCACAATATGAATCTACCACAGCATAGTAATTTGTGTAGGGCTCACTGTTAATCACTGTGTTAGAGCTAAAAAGAATTCTGAAAGAGCAGTGAGCCCACATCCTTGAGTTAACACTGATAGTTAAAATTCATATTGTGTTCGTAGAACAGATACCCCACAGTTAAAAAAAAAACTGATACATGCTTAAATATGAAATGTGTTATGCAGTTTTGCTTCTAAGAATTTCTCTTAAGGAAGTGAGGATAGACATTAAGATTTAGGTATAGTGATACCCACTACTTTATTATGCACAAAACTGGAACAACCTATATATCCAATAATAGGAAGTCAGTTAATCAGTTTAAAATACAGGCTTGCATATCTTGAAATATATTTAAGCAAATCGAAATGCCTCATGTTAAATGGGAAAAGCAGTAAACCAGATTCAAATGATTTGTGTATCTGCATATCTTTAAGATATATATATTAAATATGTCAAAGATATAAATGATATATAATTATGAATATAATACATATTTTATATATTATGTATACAATATATAATACATTATGAAGGAAAAGCATAGATGAGAAAAATTTGTCATTTTAATAACCAAATAATTATGTCTTGGACCTGGATCCTATTATAGTCTTTGGCATTTCTTTTGACACAGCAACCAGTGTAAAAAACAAAAAACAAACAAAAAAAAATAGTTGACTATTTAAGCTACATATCTGTAATAGTCGTATTTATTTTCAGTTTAACATGTTTTCCTTTTCTATATTAGTATTTCAAATATGGAAATGTTTTAACCTCGTTTAAAAGTCCAAAAATTTATTAGCTGTATATCCTAAAGTAAATTTGTGTTTTGTGTTTACAGGCAATGAAAAACATATCTGGTTTTAATATAAAGGAAAGATAATAAAGAATATTAGAAAATTGTGTGGGATCAATTGAAAGACAAACTTGGTAATACATACTGGAAGTTGGCTGTGTAACAATATTTTCAGAGAACAGTAAGATTGCTCTGAAGCGTTTAGTCTGAATATCATTTCATGCAAATGCCTTTAAGGCTGTTAGACTAACTGAAACTGTCAGTTGGATTCTGCTACTTTTGAACTAAGATTATTTGGATTATTGAGGTAAGTTAATGTCTTTGTTAGGTTATTTATGTGTGTATTGAACCTTTGATCATTCTGCTAATGTTTCCTGAGACTTTATTACTAAGATTCATTAAGTGATCATTACATCCAGTATTAGTCGAATTGGTTTCTTTTTGTCCTTTAAGATCTAATGCGTTCTATGGGCAGCACTATGACCTTCACTTTACAAAATATAATGAAAATTTCTACATGCCAAAGTGGGAAGACAGGTATAAAGGTTAGAATATGAGTTTGTGGCAAAGAAAAATTCAAAAATCAAGGAAGGTTACCCACCTGATATGAAGGACTTGTCTCATTCTCACAAGAGGAAAACTTAAACGGAGACTTTCTTAGATCTACCGAGTAGCCAAAGGTCATAAGATAAACCAGCATCCCAAAAACTACAGACTTAATTTACTTGAAGAAGCACCAATTGGAGCACTTAGTAGTAACATGAACAAATCACTAGATGCTTTCTAACTCCTGAAAGCCCTTTCCAATCAGCAGTTCTTTGGGAACCATTTACAACCATGGCAACCAACCAGTGTCATGGTCTTGATGCCTCACTTCCACTGTGGCTTGCTGCCTCAGTAATCATGTAATTTAACCAGTTGGTATGGAAGAATCACAGCTACTTTGCTCAGTGACCTACTTCTGGACTCATCCACCTCAGTAAAGTGCCCTATAGTATGGTATTACACTAAAATACCAGCTAGCAGCAACAGCATGGAGAGTTAAGGAAACTGACATCCATAAGCAGGTGGGCCAGACCATTTGTATTGTCAATCCAAAGAAGTAGAACAAGTTCAGTAATCCTTGCCATATTTCCCCCAGGAAGTCTTTGTCACCCAAGAATGGAGACATTTCTCCTGAGCTCAAAATGACTAGCCAACTAACAGGACCATTAATGTCCATAAAGAAGATTTATAAGAAGGAGAAATCTCCAGAATTACTACCAAGAACTTCAAGACATTTGCCACTGTGGACATAACCCATGTAATACATAGTATTTTAGCATCAAAGTAAAAGTGGATCCAAGAAGCTTCAGAACACAGCATTGAAAATAAGGTTCTGTTGGAGAAAGGTAACAGATCAGCAGTAAAAACACTTGTTTCACCACCTTCACACTGGCCCAAGGACAATCTGAGTCAACTGTCCTCTGACCTGGGTTAAGGTAAAGGGAGTTAACCCTCAAAGCATTCTCCATAACAAATATCTAACCCAACAAGGGGCAAGGGGGAGAGGAATGTATCACTGCCTTACAGCATGTAAGGGAGCAAATACAAATTACCCAATTCCAGTCCCTTCTAGCCTTCAAGGTACACGATGTGGATTTAAAAAACAGTAATAAAAAAGTAAACGTCACTTGAAATATTACAGCTAAGGGGCACAGATTCATAAAAGTGGTTATATTTACTGATCTTGTGAATAATACTAAAAGGATAAAGAAATATACTAACCAACTGCTTGCCTAAAGACTTGACAAATAGACCAATTTCTTAAACTATCACAAAAAGAAAAGCTCATGCTAAATGAATTGAACCAATAACCTTACAAAATGGGGAAAAGAGTTAATTCAATGAGTACCAAGTTTATTTATATAGGTATAAGATGCTGTAATATACTCTTGTACATTAGGATGATTATAGATAACATTAGTATACAGTACATTTTAGACAGGATGCAGTATTCTGGAAGCTTTCACCATGGAAAAATGATAACTGAAGAGATGGATTTAACCAGATTTAAGCATACGATATATGCCTGTGTTGGAACATCACATTATCCCATTTGCATACATAATTTTTACTTCTTTGTATCAGTTAAAAATTTTTGAGGGCCAACAATATAGCTCAGGGTTATAAGCACCTGCCTGGCAAGCACAAGGCTCTGAGTTCGATTTCTGATACTCTCCCCCCACCCCAATTTTTTTTTTAATTGAAAATAAAGCAGGCTCAGTTACACTGGTGAATTCTTTCCAAACACATAACTGATGTTGCAAAATTTGTTGTGTAATTTCTCACAACAAATACAGATTTTTACTTCCTGTTACCCTATGAGGTCAGCATTACCCAAATTACCAACGCCAAACAGATTATAAGACAAGAATGTCCCTGAGTCAGCACCATTCATAGATTATAGGGGAAGCAGAACAAGGATTCACCAAGAAGCAAGCCCTGAGGACCCTGTGAACCAGTGCTATGCGTGGAGTCCAGTAGCAGGGGACAGCCAGACCCAAGCCCCTTCTGGCACACAGGCTGGCAAACGAGCCAATCCCAGACCCCCACGCTATAAGCAACCAGATGATCTGGAGAAAAAGGCTGTGATGATAGGTATCTAGGTGGAATGCAATTAGATGCTTGTGGTGGTTGATGTTTCACTGACTTTGCAGGTCAAGGGCCAGTGTTCTGATCATCTATTCAGAGGATAGTGGTACACAGTGTGACATCTAAGGAGGATGTCCTGAAAGTGGTAGTCATTGTTAATTCTCTATTATCTTGTTTTGAAGTCCTGCATCATTTTCATTGTTTTCTTGGGTTGGATTTAGTTCGTTTTTATTTTGCTTGATTTTGTTATATTCGATGGCCTGAGCAGCTATTTCAAAGATAGCAAGATATATTATGATAGCCATTTTGAATTTACTATAATCTTGTTTTGAAGTCCTTTATTGCATTCATTGTTTTGTTTTTATTGATTCTATTCTGTT